GAGGAACACGATGATAACGGAAGGGCGATGGAACGTGAGGGGCCTCACCAGCTCTGCACCAGCTGCACTGAGGGGGTGCCCAGCACCCGGTCGGGAAGCAGGTTAATCTCTTTCATGATGTTGGCCAGGCGCACGGGCAGTTCCTGCCGGAGGAAGGTGAACGAAGTTTTCTCACAGGCATTGCTGGATCCTGAGGGTAAGAGAGGCATCGATCAACAGCTGCAAACCATGGGAACTGGCACCAGCGTGGAGCCTTCCCAGAGACCCCACTACCCAGGTTGACACATCAGTGCAGGCAGAGACTGCCAGGAAAGAACCAGCCCTCTTCGCCTACACTCTAGGAGCAGTAGCATCGACTGACCCTTAGCGAAAACTTCACTGCATTTAACCAGGGAGACAAGATACGCCTGGGGCACATTCTGAACTGTTCTGGCCTAAATCACAACACGGTTCTTTCCATCCATTCTGGGGTGGGGGCACTCATTTCAGGGGACTGACCCAGGGGGCAGAGGGACCTAAGAAATCCTTCCCTCCCTGGGGTGCTGTGACAAGATTCCCAGGACTGTAGGAACACTCAGCGTTATCCCGGAGGCAGCCCATCTCATCCAGGCTGAAGAAGCAGATGGATGCCAATGCAGAATTGGCCATGTTTAATGACCATCTGTGAAGCAAATGGGGACCTTGGTCCAGGGTCAAGAGGGACCGGCAGTGGAGAAATGAGAACTGTTAGCCTAGAGGCTGGAGACCTAGGGTCAAAACCAGGCCTTGCTTCTGCTACCCAGGGTATGCCGGCATCCTTTTGAGGGGCTCGGTGTTCCTCACACAGGAGGACGGACTCCTGCAGGTCCCTTCCAGCTGTCATTCTTTGCTGGGGCTGAAGGATTTCCCTTCAAGCAAAGCTCAAGATTCCAAGAGAACAGAGAGAAAAAGAGGCACCTCCTGGAAAACAGGTGCCCAAATCTTGTCTGCCACCTCCCTGTCTTCCTGTCTGTGACGCAGCTGTAACCTCAGCCAACTCTTGAAAGACCTGGGCCCACTCCTGATAGCCAGCTGGCACCATGGGAATGCCATGTAGACAGAGAGGGGCACACCATGTCTCCATCCACCACTTGGCACAGCTTTCTCCTGCCCAAAGCCACCTCCAACCCCCAGAACACTGGTAGCGAGTGATCTCCAGAAACCCGGGCACGGCCATAGGAGGGTGTAAGCCACCTGACTACCTCATGGCAACTCGGGCTCTGCTCAGCTAGGAAAGGCTGCCAGGCCAGAACAGATTTGATCTTCAAGTGTCCTTGCCCAGTGGGCAGCTGCAGTTGGTGGAGGCTCACCACTCAGGGGAGCTCCTCCAGCCAACACCTCCTACTCAGAGGGCCCCCTTCCCAGCTGCCCCGGGATTTCTCCTTCGCTCAGTTCAGAAGGACCCCACCCTTCGGGAACAGCACAGGTCTTGAAGGTGACTGGATCTCCCTGATACATCCAGCAGCACGTCCGTCCCCTATTTACTTTTGGTCCCCACTCTCAGTAGCCAAGATCTCCCGTTAGCTCTATCACATCTGGATGGGGCCCTATATCCTCAGTGCCTCTTACTCTCCATGGCCCCTCCCAACGCTTTCCTCGCGCCCCCATTCTTAGCAACAGTGTGAAGGGGGCACCCTTTAACTCTTTCTGGGCAGCTAGGCTTGCCTCGCCGTTTACCCATTCCTGTCCATACTCTTCCAAACCAACCCTCCTGCCACCCAGAATCTCTACCTCGGGCGTTAACCTGTCATTGCCAGAGTCTCCTCTTCCGCGCCCACCGCCCCCAGTGCCCACCTACGCTGACTCCATACCGAAGTCTAGAAACTGCTTCATGGACAGCGGGGACGGGGAGAACTTGCTGAAGTGCTCGATGTACTTGGGCGCCCCGGCTAGGGACGCATTCTTCCACAGCGCCCGGACCCAGCGCATGGCGACGGCACCCGAGGCTCTGGCTCGGCTTCTGCTGCTGTCCCGGACCTGGAGTAGCTGGCACCAGCCCTCCGCTTGGCCCAGATCGGCCCGGAGAAGCGCTTCGGCCACCTCCTCCCTATCCCTGCCCTGGTTGTACCTCCAACGCCTAACCAATCGGTTTGTCCCTGCGCCCTGACGTTGCCAATGGCCGCGCACAAACAACTCCGGGAGGACCAATAGCCTTGCGCTTCGACACGTGGCTCTTCTCGGGACCCACCCCCTTAACCGTGTTGGTGCTGGAGGTGGCCTGTTGTTTTCCACGGCTGTGCTCAAGTCCCGCCTCTGGCCGCTAACTCCCCTAGACTTCTTGGGGGCGAGCTCCGGGTTAACCCCTTCCTTCCCAGAGTCCCGCTAACCCTTCGGTTGGCCTTCTACTCTTGCCTTTCCCTAACTCCTTCCCCGTCTCTTCCTTTCTCCCTCTCCTTAACCCTTTCTTCCCTGCCTTGTCTTTTTCCTAAAGGCACCTGTTTTACCTGTCTTGATTCTCACCTGTTCTGCCATAGGAGTGCTCTGTGGTTTCCCACTCCTATGATGGACCCAGAATAAACACTTCCAAGTCTGTACTAGTCTATCCTATATGTGTTGAACCTACTGGCTTTCCATAAATATCCAAGTAGCCCGGGAAAAAGGGTCATTTTCTTTTCTCATGTGAAAGACATCCAAAATTGGGGTGGCAGTGTGGTTCAGAGGGTATGGCATTTGCTTAGCACAATATTGATAAAATAACAACAAAAAAACCTGGAACCAAGCCTCTCAGGACTAGCGGAGGAGGAGGCAGGAGCTACTGCCAGTGTTCATTTTAGGAAGTTCCATTTTATTACAACCTAGTTCATTTGACTGAACATAAAACCTTGAACGTCTTGGACAACCACCTAAGAAGGCAACCTTCTTTGTACCTAGCCTGAGAAGGTAACCATTTGGGCCGCTGACTTCCTTATTACAAGTCTTCCCGGCCGATGAGGCATTCAGAAGCTAGGGAGCTCAACCGCTATGTTCCTAGCAGCTCGGGCCTCTTTCCCCACAAAACGTCATGCGCCCTCTTTTGGTAAGACGTGGTATGTTTCCCACTCTCTGGGCCTACAGAGGTTCCTTAGTTCTCTGCGTATTGACCCACCCTTAGCACACCCCCTGCTAAGAGTTGACTTTTGTTCCAAAACAGGGGCTTGGCTTAGTAGGGCCTGGTGTTACTCTTGGAGGCTTGAGGCAGGGGCATTTCACTTCAAGACCCACCCAAGGGAGAGTGAGTTCCAGTACAGCCTGGGTAATTTAATGAGCTCTCAAAAAGTGGGAGGAGGAATTGGTTCTACACTGGCGATCACTCAGTGGTAGTGTTTTCTAGGATGTGCAAGACTGGCCTGATGTCCGCCCCCCCCCCCACTACAGTCTATAACTGTAGCCAAGAAAAAACAAGGTTTCATTGTGGAGAGTGTAATGCTGTGTGCCAGGCACCGTTTGCCTGGATTATGTCTTTTAATTTTTTGTTTTGTTTTCGAGACAGGGTTTCTCTGTGTAGTCCTGGCTGTCTTGGAACCCACTCTGTAGACCAGGCACTTAAAAAAAGCAATGTGAGTTGTGGGGGTGCACGCCTTTAATCCCAGCACTTGGAAAGCAGAGGCAGGTGGATCCCTGAGTGTGAGGCCAGCCTGGTCTACAGAGAGAGTTCCAGGACAGCCGCCACAGAGAAACGCTGTCTTGGAAAACCAAATTAAAATATGTGTGTATGTATGTGTGCGTGAGTGAGCTTATTTATACCACGAGCAGGCAGGTACCTGTGGAGGCCAGAGGGAATCTCATTACCTGGGATTGGAGTTACAGGTGGTTATGAAATGCCTGATGCAGATGCTGGGAACCCAGCCCAGGTCCTCAGCAAAAGCAGAAAGCACTTTTAACCACTGAGCCATCTCTCTCCCAGTTCTGAGTTTCCCCTGCTTTCTGGAGCCTTCCCAGTTGTCCTAATATCTGCTTTGGCTCCATTTGTTACTCATATCTCACATTCCCCTGTTCCACTCCCAAGGCAATCTACCTGCTGCCTTGACCAGCATCTAATCTAATCTCCAATCCGTGGACAATCCGAGCTGTTTTTTTGGCAGCAGGGTTGGGAGTGGGGGTGTTTCTGACTCATTTTTCTCAGCTTCCTGTACCTATTCTTCAGGTCTTTGGCTGCTTGGCCTTCTCCTCCTCTAGGAAGCCTCCTTACATGCCCCCTTAGGTCTCCCGATCTTAAGACATGAGAGCGGCCCACACTGAGGGTTAACTGCTGATTCATGTGTCTTTCCCACTGAACTTTGGTTTCGGGAGGGCACAGGTTGTATCTGACCTAGTCATTGCTTTATCTCTAGCCCTGGGCACAGTGCCTGGCATGTAGTAGAGAAGACAGAGAGAAAAGGAAAGTGAGGGAGGCAGAATGGCCCCAGGCCTGTGTACAGGGATCCTTAGACGTCTGCCAGCCCAACAATGAGGAAGCAGTGGATGACAAGGGTGAGTGCGTCATCAAGGGCCAGGCACAGTGTATGAGTTAACTCTTTCTCCTCTCTCTCTCTCTCCTCTCTCTCTCTCTCTCTCTCTCTCTCTCTCTCTCTCTCTCTCTCTCTCTCTCTCTCTCTCTCTCTCTCTCTCTCCAAAGCCAGTTTGTGTGCAAACCTGATATCCCCAATCCCCTACTACATCATCTGAGCTCAGCCTGGGTTGCATGAACATGAAGACCATTCTCAACTCCCTTCTCTCCCTATGACCAAATCCAAGCCAGAGCCTAGCAATCAACGGAAGCAATCAATACCCAAATGAACACCACAGGAACAGGCCACAACGCTTGACATAAAAAGAGAGCGCTCCCCCACGGCGAACTGGACTTTCTCATGAAGTGAACTCTGGGCTTGAATTAAAATGCTTCATGCACGGTGTGCAGTAGGGTGCTAGGTCCATCGTCCAGGGATCGACTAGGGGAAGTTATCACCCCTCTAGCCTGAACCGAGACAGGTCAGGACCGCTTGGGGGAGGTGCAGAAGCAGCTGTACAAACTTGGAGTTGTTTATTTATTTTAGTGAGAAGCCCATATACAAAGAAGGTACAGGGTAGGGGAAGCTGCTATAGTACCTTGGAGGGGCAGAGCTGGGGAGTGGGCCTGCCTGTGGGCGGGGCTCAGGGAGCGGACCTGGGAATCAGCCTCCACTGCTAGAATGGGGATGCAGCTCCTAGGGGAGGGGGAAGGCGAGGTTTCTCAGAAAGCCATGGACAGCTAGCTCAGAATGCCATCTCTGTGGTCAAGGGGGCGGAGTGAAGTCCGGCCAGCTGAGGCAGGGGTTGGCCTCTCCCCCGCCATACATTCAAGTATCACACCCCACATGGTCTTGTGGGGTCTCCAGGCCTTGCTCAGGCTGAGATGGCCAAGGATGGGTCAGAAGTATCCCCCCTGCATCCTGCCAGTATCTGCTGGGCCAGGATTGATCCCCTGCTCTCTGAAGGATGCTACCCTGCTCCAGGTCAGCCCCAGCACAGTGTGTCCAGGTTGTCCATGGTTTTGCTTTGTTCCTCTGGGCTGCGTTTCTTGCCAACTCCATCTGTAGCCAAGGTTTTGGAGATCCATTCATAAAGCCCATTCTGGGGACCTGCTTTTTTAGTTCATTGCTCTTGGTCTGAGCACACAAGTCACAGAAACATCCCCTACTCTCCAGTGGGTGCCAGGAACTGCAGCTGGGCCCAAATGTATCCTTGTCGTCAGTAGTTTTATTCTGGACAGAAAAGTCAGTCCAGGGACAATGGCTCAAGGGGTATATGGTGTGGAAGAGAGATATCACCACACCAGGGACCTTTTCCTCCTGGCTCCCAGTAGAGGTGCTTTGGCTTGGTTTTGGCACAGAAAGAGGCTTGGTCGTGGCATCCTCCATGGTATATCTGAACAGGCCCTTAGCAGAAGGCCCTGTGTGTCCAGTGTCCAGGGCTGTGCTGTGCTCAGCATCACAAGGTCTTGAAGGAGAGTCTAGGGCCCCAGAAAACATTCCTGCACTAAAGAGGGATATATGCCTGAGCCTACTGGTGCCAGCCAACTGTGTGGCCCCTTTTGGACTGTCAGAGTCATAATTTATGATAAATAGGAAGAAAGGAAGAATTGGGAGTGGTGGCAGGGAGGATATCAGTAGTATCGGTCCCGAATCTGCCAGCTGGTGACCCAGTGCTTCTTGGTGGGTAGGGTGCTCCCTGGAGGCGGGTAGCGCTCCTCCTCCCGAATACGCACTGCATGGTACTTGGGCATGATCCGGTAGTATCGGGTCGGCTTAAAGAAGTCACACTGGAGTTCAGGCAGAAGAGAAATTGTGTCAGTATCCAGCATTCAAGTGGGAGACGATGCCCCCCCCCCAACACACACACACACACACACACACACATGCACACACACACGCACACACACCCAAACATCCCAACCTCAGTATGAGATGGGAAGATGAACATCCCCACCTCAGGCCCAGAGGAAGGAGGAGCTAAGGAAGGCACAGAGGAGAACAGAGGCAGGTGGAGACCAAGCAGATGCAAAGATTGTGGGCCAGGAAGACAGAGTGATCCCAATGGCCAGTGCTAGGGGTAGGTGAGACAGTTATCCTAGGGAGATGTGTGGGACTCGAGACAAAAAGGGCTGGTCTTTCTCTGTTCTCTCCTTCCTAGCGAGAGGGGGATAGGCTTTAGAGTCATTGTGGGCATGCCTGCGGATCAGACAGAGGTGGGTCTAGCCCTGACTGTTTCTCTTTTTCAGTCCCTCAGAAAGCAGCATGCTCACTGGAAGGATTTCCCAGCATGCTCTTGGGATTTTAAGCTCCTGCGAGCCAGGTGCAGGTGGGGGGTCCAGGGGGTAATCAGGGTGGCCTGTGCTTTGAGGTGGTAGACAAGTGAGATCCAAGCAGGCCCTAAGGCAAGAGGAGCAGACAAGACAGAATCAGAGGCCCCAGCCAGCTGAGGTTGCGGAGAGGAGGCCCATAGGACATGTTACCCAGGTGGGCTGGGGCAAGGGGGGCGCCCCCTCAGTAGTCGTCGGTCAGCCTTTCTGTCTCTGACGGCTGGCTCTTCATCTCAGCCTTCTGCCTCTTAGCTTCATACAGGGCACGAGTGCGGGCTCGCTTGAAGAAGCCGCACTGGAGGGAGGAGGTGGGGATGGCCATCAGGGGTGCTGGCAGACCTGGCCATCAGTACTCAGAAGGGGAGCTGGGGCTTAGAGATGGGGACCTGGAAGGCTAAGTCCTGGGCCCAGCCTGGTGGGTGGCCAGACGCCAGAGCAGCCTGCAGTTCCCGAGGAGGAGGCGTGGGTGGCACTGGGAGCTGTGGGGAGGGGCGGGGAGGGTCTGGGAAAGGGCAGCTGACATGGAGGTGAGGAATGGGATGCAGAGCCGTGGGATGGAGGGAGGGGGTGAGCCATGCTGGCGCTGGCTGGCAGTGGGGGTGAAGTGCAAAGCCCCGCGAGGCTGGGAGTCTCTACCTTCCACAGAAGGATGATGATGAGCCCTAGAAGCAGCAGCCCGGCACTGACAGCCACAAGGACCAGCCACAGCTCAATCTCAGCAGGCAGCTCCTCCACCAGCTCTGAGTCAATGTCCACTGAGAACTGCAGAGGAGAGAGATGAGACTCAATGGGGCCAGCCTGTGGAGACCAGGGTTCAAGACCCATGACTCTGTTATTTGATCTACAGCCAGTAGGGGGCGATCAAGGACTAGAAAAAGCCCTGGCAGGTCCTTGTGTTCAGTTTCTTAGGCACAAATTTAGCCAGGGAGACTGCCTCAGATCTGGTAGGTAGCCTGGCATCTGAGTTTGTGACCCACACATCTGCACTTGCATATCAGCTCTGGTCCTGGTAAACTGTGTGACCTTGAGGTAGCAATTCCATTTCTCTGGAGCTTTTGTGTGCTCTGGTAAAGAGGTCTTTACCGGCTACTTTACAGCGTAGCAGCATGGCCCAAAGCATGCATTCGGGAACCAGGCTACTTGGGTTCAAGTCCAACTTTTCTATCTACCGGCTATGTATCCCTGAAGAAGTTATGCAACCTCTCTGTTATTCATCTGTAAACTGGGGATTATAATTCCCTACTCATAGGCTGTTGGACAGGATTAAACCTGGGTAGTATGAATAGATTGCTCAGAGTTAAACACACACACACACACACACACACACACAGACAACGCACAGCAAACAGCATAGGCATGCGTATATTCGGGTTAAACAGCCCACACCAGAGATGCTTTGCGACCAGAAGTGCTTCAGATTTGGGGTTTTGTTTTATTTGTAGCTCAGAAAGTTTCAGATTTTGCAGTAGAACTTCTCTAGACGACTATGCTTGATTTTCACCTCTTTTAAAATTAGTTTGATTTTTAAAAAAAGCATAACAGAAAATTAAAGATTTCCAGTAATTTTCTGCTCTGGATAAACCCACCACCACAGTGAACAGTGGTTCATGCCTGCTGGTGACCCCAGAAGGAGGTAAGAGGATCGGGAGTTCAAGACCAGCCTGGGCTACAGGTGGCCCTACCTCCAAAGAACAAACAAACAAGCTGGGCAGGGTGGCACATGCCTTTGATCCCAGCACTCTGAAGTAGAAGAGTTTGAGACCAGCCTGGTTTACATAGTGAGTTCCAGAACAGTCAGAGCTACACAGAGTGACCCTGTCTTGTGAATGAATGAATGAATGAACGAACGAACAAATAACAAAAATGCACAGTAAATCTCTGCGCTGAATTTTTTTTTTTTTGAGAGAGGTTCTTGTTATATTAGCCCAGCCTGGCCTCAAACTCTTAATCCTGACTCAACCACCCAAGTGCTGAGATTATACCCATGGGCCCTCCCCAGCTATCTCTATATACTTGATACATTTGCCCCACCTTGATGGGGTCGTACTATATGCACACCTCTGCAAGCTTCGTCTTCCCCATTTTTTTTAATTACTGTCATCATCTCTCCCTGGCAATTGATAAAGGCCAACTTGGTCTCTTCTGAGGAAGTGGACCACATTTTATTGAGCCAATCTCCTCAATGACAGACATTTAGATGGTTTCCCACTCCCAGCTCATATTAACAATGCTCTAAAATACCCCCATATATTCATCTTTGCATGCTCGTCCGGTGAGCTCCTTGAAATATATGAGCATGTGTTAGATTCAAGGGAATGGGTGCTTTAAATTTTAATGAATATTGACAAATGCATCTCCACCATGGAGCCGCCAATTTATCCTCGAGTCAGTAGCGTTTCCCACCACCAACCATCGCCAGACGACATTTCTCTTTTTAGTGTTTTCCAATCAGATAGACAAACAACCCGTTTAAAGGTTTTTTTGATTGCTTGTTTTCTGAAACACTTTTGTAGCCTTGGCTGCCCTGGAACTTGCCACATAGACCAGACTGGCCTTGAACTCACAGAGATCCTTCTGCCTCCGCCTCCAGAGTGCTGGGATTATTGTGTGTGGGTCTGTGCGTGTGATTGCAGGAGCTCCCATGGAGCTCGGAGCAGAGTTAAAGCTGGTTGTGAGCAGCCTGGCGTGTGTGCTGGGAACTGAACGCAGGCTTCCTGCAAGCACGGTGCGCACTCTTAACTGCAGAGCCATCTCTCCAGCTCCTTCTTATTTCTCTAAGTGTAAGTTAAGTATTTGTATTTCACCTCACATATACTTTTATACTGACGTGTTAAACTAGGCCCACACTTCGTCACATTCCTTTGGAACTTGTCCTTTCAGCTCGTCTTCCGTTGTACCTAGATTTACCATTTCATATAGACTAACTTTTCAGAGTCATCCTTGGTGACTTTGGGCTTTAATAAAGTTAAAACCACTCCTGGTGGCTCACGCCTTTAGTGCCAGCACTTGGAAGGCTGAGACAGGAGGACTGCTCCAAAAGTTTATGACTAGCCTGGGCTACATCGTGACATTTTTTGTCCCCAAAACAAATAATGGTGCAGTGAGATGCAGGTAAGGACGCTTGTTGCCAATCCTGACAGCCCGAGTCTGCATGCTCAGCCACATGAGGTGGGAGAAGAGAATTGACCCTACAAGAGTCCTATAGCTTCTGCGTGCTCACTGTGGTACACACATGCTCCCTCTACATAAAAAATACAATTTAAAAGAAAAAAATTGGAGCCAAGGACCAGTGGCACACGCCTTTAATCCCAGCACTTGAGAGGCAGAGGCAGGCGGATCTCTAAGTATGAGGCCAGCCTCGTCTACAGAGTGAGTTTCAGGAAAGTTAGGGCTACACAGAGAAACCCTATCTTAGAAGGAAAAAAAATGGGGGCTGGAGAGACAGCTCAGCAATTAAGAACACTTCCTGCTCTTACAGATGTAAGTCTCAGCACCCAGAGGGTGACCCACAACTGTCTGCTGTTGTTCCAGGAACCACGCCCTCTTCTGGTCTTTGAACGCACTGCATACCCGTGATACACATGCATGCAAGCAAAATACTCACACACGAGAAAATAAATTTTTAATTAAAAACCAAATACATAGTTCACTCTCCCCATGGTTAAGGGTTACTATCAAATTATTCTGTTTTCTCTTCTGGAACACATTTAATTCCAAATTTTAAATATTTCATTTAACCTCAAGGCAGTTTGCTGGTGGTGTGAGGTAACTGTCTTTCTTTCTCAAATATGTTCTAACTCTTCTAATATCTTGAACTCTTGATCCTCCTGCATCATCCCGAATCCTGGGATTATAGACCTGTGCCACCACGACCTTTCTTCTTTTTTTTTTTTTTCACAACCTTTCTTCTGCACTCACTGAGAATGCAGCTTGGAGCTGGCAAGAGGGTCAAAGTGTTTTCCTTGCAGACAGATGGCCTCCACATGGCCACTATAGCATGCCTGCCTCTCTCACCCACACATCGATATAATAAATCATTTCCTTTTTTTAAAAAAGGCCAGGCATCGTGGACACACGCCTTTAATCCCAGCACTCGAGAGGCAGGGGCAGGGGCAGGGGCAGGGGCAGGGGCAGGGGCAGGAGGATCTCTGTGAGCTCAAGGCCAGCCTGGTCTACAGAGTAAGTTCTAGGCCAGACAGGGCTATATCATCAGACCCTGTCTCAGGAAGAAGGAGGCAGTCTTTAACACGGACTGCATTTCCTGTCCCTTGTCCCTTTCTCCACTCTTCTTCACTCCGTGGAGTCAGAGTGTTTCGGCAAGCTCCCCTTCACCCCGCGCTGTGTATCTCCTGTGTGTTTCCACTAACATCCTTTCCACAACAAATTCTTAGCAATCTGTCATACTGCTTCCAGCTGTCACTTAGAACATTTCCCCCCTTTGGAATTTCCTGAATCTGACTTGGGCTGGAATAACTTGAAAAGATCTGACAAAGAGAGACTATTGGCTTTTTCTCCCTGACCATAATTTACTTTTGTTGTTGTATGTTTATTGTTAAATGTTATCCCAATGGGCTCTCTAGCCATACATACAAATGCTGTTCTTGTTCAGGATTTGTTTGATTGGTTCGAGTTTTTGAGAGACAGAGTCTTGCTCTGTAGCCCAAGCTGTTCTTGAACTCCTGGAGTTGCCCAGGCCAGCCTCAAACTTGAGTTAGTCCTCTGCAGCAGCCTCTAGTCTACTCCTCCATGATCAGCTTTTTTAAATTTATTTATTTATTTTATTTATTTATTTGTTTGTTTGTTTTTCAAAACAGGGTTTCTCTGTGTAGCTTTGGGGCCTGTCCTGGAATTTATGCTGTAGACTAGGCTGGCCTTGAACTCACAGAGATCCACCTGCCTCTGCCTCCTGAGTGCTAGAATTAAAGGTGTGCATCACCATGCCCAGCCTCCTCTCTCTTTTAAAATTGTGTGTGTTTGTGTGTGTGTGTGTGTGTGTGTGTGTGTGGTGTGTGTGTACACATACACGCGTGCCCTTCTGGAGGCTAGAGATCAACGCTGGATGTCTTCCTCTGTCATTCTCTATCTTTTTTGCCTTGAGGCGGGGTCTCTCACTGAACTGGTAGCTGTTTCGTCTACACTGGCCTGCAGCAAGCCCCCAGCATTCCTCTGTCTTCCCTGGCCTAAAGCCTGAAGTTTCAGGCATGTAGTTAAAAGCTTTTAACTAGGTGCTTGTGAGCTGAGGATCCAAACTCAGACTTTCATGCGTGTACAGCCGCCTCCCCAGCCCCTCACTTTTAGTCTGGAGACAGAGTATCAGTAAGTTAAATTCACTCCATAGCCTGGGCAGACCCTTCGCGACCCTTCTGTTTTGTCTCCCAGAAACCAGGATGGCAGGCTCATACCATCAGGCCCAGCATCGGCGTCCTCTTAGAGATACCCTGTGCTGTGTGGCCTGGCCTGAGCCCGCTGCTCTTGTTAACACACCCACTCACCCATGTGGTCTTGTTCTCCATGTTGATGGTAGGGATGCTGGTTCGTAGGAACAAAGTGGCCCAGCCATCTACCCTGACTCTGTCAAAGTCTCTGTAGTCCTAAAGGAAGATAGAGGGGTCAGGGCTAGCAGCTGAAGCCTCTCAGCCTCCCTGCTTCAGTTCCCTGCAAGGCCCTGCATCCAGCCTCTTCACACACACAATGCATGTCACTCACTCCTCTGTGCACTGGGTCCTGTGCTGATGCTGGGACAGCGGAGATGGGGAAGGTCACAGTCTAGGTCAGGCTCAGGGACTAAATCTACCCAGCACCTGTTTCTGGCACATAGCCACACCCCGTCATTTGCCTAGGTGACTTCTGTGATCCCATGTTGGAAACTGAGTAGTTATCACAGAAACCAAACACACAGACCAGAACGATTGAGTCTAGTCCTAAAAAAAGGTGACACTAGGTAGCAAGGGAAGGCCAGCATGAGAGTCACCATAACCTATCCAGGCAGGACAGATGACCCTTGCGGCTTCTGAGGAAGTTCTGTGCAGTGTGGAAAGAGAGTGGACTCTAGCTGCTGAAGCTACACAGGATCTCAGGGGTGAGAAGTGAAGTTCGATGGAGACCTTGATGGCTGAACAGGGAATTCACACACACACAGAGACAGAAAGAAAGCCGGCATTCCAGCAGGGGGGGCCAGAGGCAAAGGCACCACAGTAGAATGTAATGGACACACGAGAGGTCATTTTGGAAGCTTTGTACATGCACACACAGACACGCAACCATTACACGGATATGGCCTACACCGACAGACACACAACTGTGTAGAACATGACACTATTTTACACCACACACATACACACAACACACACACGGTACACACACACCACACACACATACCCCATACACACACACCACACACACACACACAGACACAGCACACACCACACCACACATACCACACACACACCACATACATACACCATACACACATACCACACACATATATACACCACACACACACACACACCCCATACACACACACACCACACATACCACACCACACACACCACACACACACAGACACAGCACACACCACACCACACATACCACACACACACCACACACATACACCATACACACATACCACACACATATACACACCACACACACACACACCCCATACACACACACACCACACATACCACACCACACACACCACACACACACCACACACATACACCATACACACATACCACACACATATACACACCATACACACACACACACACCACACCACACACAGACACAGGACACACAGTACACACACATACACAGTACACACACCACACACACACACCACCACACACCACACACACACACCACACTGGCTGTCACCAACCCTCCCTGCCACTCTCCTCACCCAGGTGGAGGACAGTGGAGCACTAACCTCGATGAAGGTGCTGTTCCACACCCGTGCCTTCACAGTCACGTTGGTGATGTTGGAGGCATCAGGAAGGGGGCACTCCAGCCACACACAGCGGGCACGGCCACTGGCACAGGTCTGACGTGGACAGGAGATAGACAGACGTAAGACTGCCTGGCTCTCTAGACCTGATGCTGCCTCTGCTAACCTCTGCCCTTCTAGACCTCATCCTACCCTGAGGGACAAAGGGCTTTGTACATTGCTTTGCTCATGTGTGTTCCTCTACTTCTCAAACATACATTCAAGGTGCATTCTTGGGCTAAACTCATCTCAGGGAACACGAATAGGAGCATAGACCCTGCTCAGGCTGCCAAGTCCCAGCCTCAGAAATCTCCCCCAAGCCAGGTACTTTGCGTGTTGTCGGTTGGCTTGGGATACCCCTTCAAGCTCTCTAGCCAGTTATGCCTCCCCTAGGTCCCCATGTTTGCTTCTCAACCTTTTCTTGCGTAGGGCACTCTGCTCTACACTCTACCCCAAATGCCCAAGCAAAACAGCCCCCAACAGGGTGTGAAGTCTTGGAATCCAGTCCGCAGCTCCCCTTTGAGTCCACTGTGATGGATCCTCCCTGAGGCCTGGCAGGAGACTCCTGAGGCCCAGTTCCACAGCACCCTTTTAGACCTGTGTCTCTGTGTGAGTGGTCTCTGGCTGCCTTGCTTCATGGGCCCCTGATGCCCACGTGCCTTGTGACAGGCTGTGTCGTCCTTCCCACCACTGCCCTGGTCACTCACCAACAGAGTCTCAGATTTGGCTTTTTTGGCAGCAGCCAGTGTGACAGGTGGGGGGCCCTGTTCTCCCCCGGGATCCAGCTGTCTCCGCCTGCGCTGTGGAGAATGTGGCTTGTCTCCGGGGTCCTGAAGAGGGAAGAGATTTGTTGGGGAGGCAGAGAGAGAGAGAGAGAACAGCTGATGGGGGACAGGGGAGGGACAGAGGGGACTGACGTGGCCGGGGAAGACACTGGCTTTCCTGCCCCCTGGCATGCAGGTAAGGTGTACATGGAGCATCCCACCGATGAACTCACAGAGAGAGTAAGGTTGAGAGGGTTGACGAGGCTTCCAGGTGGCTGGCAGGGCCAGGACCCATTACTATGGATGGTGATCTCCGTGGGGTACAGCAGCCACTTGCCATTGGCGACTTCATAGGGCCATTCCAGACCTAGGACCAGTGTGCCCAAAGCTGCCAGCCCGTCTCCCACTGGGCTCACCTGTGGGCACACATGACCTGTGTGTCATGGTTACCAACTTTTGGAAAACTCTCTACAACTCAACAGCCCTCAACCCACCCAGTTTTGAACCCTGGACCCAGAACAACGTCCCCCTTGCCTTTCATAAGCACCTCCAGCCAGGACCCCAGAGGTGCCCTTACCTGGAATTCGTATTTCAGGGGACTGCCCACATCCTCCACAGTTTTCATGCCAGCCTCACCCATCACTGTGCCACCAAAGAAGCTCTGTAGCCGATGTGTCATCCTAGGGTAAGAAAATCAATCAACTCCGTCAGGGGCTGGAGAGATGGCTCAGTGGTTAAGAGCACTGACTGCTCTTCCAGAGGTCCTGAGTTCAATTCCCAGCAACCACATGGTGGCTCACAGACATCTATAATGAGACCTGGCGCCCCCTTCTGGCATGCGGGCACGCATGGAAGGAATGCTGTACACATAATAAATAAATAAATCAAAAAAAGAAAAAAGAAAAAAAGAAAAACACCTGTGTCAAAGCATACAGGAGGCCACAGCCCTGCCAGAGGGGACTGCAGTGCTGAGGCTGGTTGACTATGGGTCCCCTTAGGTATAAGCCCCAGTTCTACCACACACCAGTTGTGTGGCCTTACACAAATTACTGATTCTCTCTGAGCCTCAGTTTCCTCGCCTGTGGAGCTAGCAATAGCTGGCACAAGGCAAGGCAAGGATGCAGTCAATAAGATGTCTACTGGGCTCTCAGAAAGGTGGGGGAAGGGTTGAAGAGATGGCTCAGGGGTTACGAGCACTTATTGCTCTTCCAAAAAACTGGGGTTCAGTTCCCAGCACCCACAGCACGGCTAGCAACCATCTGTAACCATTCAGTGTTAGGAGCTCTGACACCCTTTCCTGCCCTTCAAGGGCACCAGACACACACATGATGCACACACACATGCAGACAAAACACTCATACACATAAGATATGAATCGAAGACAAAAAGAGCTGGCTGAGAAGGTGGCACAGTGGGTAAAGCGCTTGCTATGCTAGTGTGAGGTCCTGAGTTCAAATCCCTCTAGAGCCCACTTAAAAGCCGAGTATGGTTGCAGACATCTGTAGTTCAAATGCTCTTAACGTGTGGTGGGTAATGGAGACCGGAGGGTCCCTGAGGAAACGCTAGTCAGCTAGCTTGGCACACGCTTTCCGGTGTATGCAATGGCCAACAGCAAAGAGACCCAGTGCCTCAAAAGGTCCTCTGACTTCTACATGTATTCCACAGCATACACATACCTGCATTCTCACACGTGTACATGCAAACGTGTATCATACATATACGCACATACACACAGATACATATCCAGAAAATAAAGCAGAAACATTCAAATGAAGGGCAAAGACCACCACCTTAGCCCCAGGTGTTAGTTCTGCCCTTGCCACCTGCCTTGCAGGAAAAATAATTTTTACAACTCTCAGAGTGGCCATGGATATAGGAAAAGATGACAACAGGAGGGCACCAGCCCAAGTGAAGTGTCAGAGGGGCTTAGGAGACACCTTGAGGGTAGGGAGGCCTGGCTCAGGCACAGAGGACTAGGGGACAGCGCGGTACCCACAAGTTGAGTGAGGCCTGGAGCGTGTAGTCCACCTGCAAAGTCAGGGTCATGGGCTGCAAGTTGTCCTGGTGACTTGACCTGAGGAGAAGACGCAGGCGGTAAGGAGACCAGGACATGAGCTCAGCCCTGACCAGACTAGCTTTTCAGGGTCACTCACGTGGAGAGCTGCAGCTGCACCTGAAGGTCCCTTGTGTGCAGGGTCACCCCAATGACCTCAAAGGCAATGAGCAGCTCCATCTAGCACAAGGGTCAGGGTAACAGAAAGGAGCATTGAAACGCAGCAGGGGGCTATGGCACGGCAGAGATCTAGACAAGGGACCTCCATCCCTCCTCCTTATCCATCCCTGGTTCCATGTCTCTTCTTTGGGTGACATCATTACTACTGGGTGAGGGTGGGGGGGGGGGTCTCTGCTACTTTTGTATAACCTTAAGTGGGTTACTGAAACTTTCTAAGCCTGTGCTTCCCACTCTGTGAAATAGCTTTTATATCGGGGGAAATTGAGATGTGGCATCAGATAAGAGATGGCATGAGGTGTAGCAGCGAGCCCAGCATCAGGGCTCAGGCAAAGAGGTCTCCTGGCTTGCACCTACCCTAGAATCATGCATAGTTCCCTAGTGGCTCCATTTCTTAGTCCCTTGGCCTCTTCTCACCCCCTGCTCGGCCTTCCCCTCCTCCACTTTGGTTCTTTGCTTCAAGAAATCCCATGAATCGGGCAGGTAAGACGGCTAGGAGCTCGCCCGAGGACCCTCCAGGAGTGGAGGATGTGGCCGGGTCTCACCCTCTGGTTCCGTTTGAAGGGGTTTCCTAGCTCACACAGGATGGTCTCGTTAGCTTGGCAGGTCCCGGACTGAGGAAAGAAAGTAAATAAAGTCAGGGTTTTGCTAGTCTTCTGTCTACAACGGAGCACGGGTTGAACTCCTAGAGGTTGTGTAGTAGTCCAGTCCCGGAAGAGGTCAGCACACCACAGCAAAGCATAATTCATATTATACCGTATGACGTACGCATTGGGGGTGCAAATAGGAAGCCAGGTTTGGGCTGAGCCGGGGCAGTGGGTACTCACTGGGCGCACTGAGGACAGTAGCAGGGCAGGTGGCACCTCCAAGGTGAGCAGTGCCTCGTGGGCATCTTCCCCAGCACGCTCGTGGCTCGGCATATTGGTCACATTGATGCTCAAGAACAGTTTCTTGGTGTCTCTGCTGTACTGGAGCCTGAAGAGAGGAGCACAGAACTAAGCCAAAAGCTCCACCTCCATTGGGCTCCGCCCCTCGTCCGGGACATTAAAGCCCTTCTCCCCACATCCACCCTAATCCTGGCCAGTGAGGCCTCACCCCAATTCCGCCAGCCAATGAAGCCCCGCCTAGCCTTTGACCAATCAGCATCCTCCAGATACCACCTGCTTAGAGGCTGCAGCTGCTCAGACACGAAGGCTGCTCGCATCTGCAGGTTACTGTCGCACTTGTTGTCGGGCCCGCACTCCTTCTGGAAGTGGACCTGGGGACAGTGGCAGCTTTGAGGGGACTGCACCCCTTATTACCCTCTGACCCACAGCCCTCCTGGCCCGGGGTAGGCTCTGCTCACCTCAGTGTGGTTCTCCAGAGCCTGTGCCTGGTTAAGAACTGGGTAGGCATCCAGAGACCGCATGCCCAGCTTCAGGCGATCGGGCATGCGCAAAGGTAAGGAGTAATTCATGGCAATAACGATGGGACGGAGTTTATCACGGACATTGTCCTGGGAAAGAAGGTGAGGTGAACCCAGCCCCCAAGTGGATCCTCCTAGCTCGCTAAACCCTAGCCAGACTAAACCCCGGGGGGGGGGGGGAGCTAGGGTTCTCTCTATCCTGAACCCCCAAGTTAAGCTGAATCTGCACTAATCCAATCACCAAATCGAGTCCTACGATCTTGTACTGCCCCAACTCCCTCGAGATAGCACTTTTTCTTCCCATTGATGGGTGTTCTCCTTTACTTTACGGATCTACAGGTTCTCTTCCCCCGACAACATGATGTCTCAGAGAGGAACTGAGCTCGTCCTGAGTCGGGGACACAATTCTTCAAGACTGGACCAGAGCCAAGACCTCTTTTCTAAGGTAATAAGCCCTGACCCCATCTCCACCCCGGGTCTGATCCCACTCCTAACATGTGTGCCGCCACCGCCCCACCAATCCCCATCCCCCATTCCTCCCCAACCTCTGTCTTTGGGGATACCCCTGTGCCTCAGCTTTGACTTAGAGGACACTGGCCACCTCGTCCAGAGATCTCAGAGGCCACATCCTGCCCTACAGTTCCTCACCATCAGTAGTAATTCCAGTGTCTGGCAATGCGTCTCCGGCATGGAGAAGAAACCATGAAACACAGCCGACTGGCTGCTGGCAAATCGGAGCCTGGGGGGCCGGCGGTCCCGGTCAGCCTCCAGTGTGTACGCCAGGGCTGCAGACAGACCCGACAGTCAGCAGGTGGCCAGGCGAGCATCCCCCACCCCCACCCCTCCCACCTGAGCACCCTGTGCCCAGAACTCACTAATGTTCCGCCTGTAGTTGGGGTTCCCAGCACTCTGGTTGTAGGCAAAGCACAGCTCCACCTGAACACTGTTGGGAGGACGCAGAGCAGGGCCTGGTCACAGTGGGACAGCCATGTCCTACTTCTTACTCTTGTGCTAGGCAAAGGGGACTCAGGACCCTTGTGGGGGGACAGTCAGGAGCAAAACTGGGGCGTCTACAAAGCTGTGGTGACTTCACCGTTTCTAGAGGTCGCCAGTGGGGAAACTGAGGCCCAGGGAACAGGATTGATTTGTCTGAGTTATTAGGCAACTGGTGGCCCAGCCCAGGTCTCAGGACCTCCAGATCTTACTTTTGTTCCCCATCCCCAGCTGTTCAGCTCACTGTCCCCTTTTGCTATCAGGCTGATATCCACAGAAACCCTCAGGTCCCTATGGTCTTTACTACTTTCTTCACAACTTTGTTTTGTTTTGTTGAACACTTGAGGTACAGCATCTTGTGCTTAGAGCTTTTTTTTTTAAAAAAAATATTATTTCATTTAATTATCTCAAGAACTCTGTGAATTAGTCATTACCATTTATATGTTATCTGAGACTCGGACTAATTATTTGCCCAGGGTGAGTCTCATTCCCCACACCCGTGCACCTAAGAGCATTCCTTTCCCCTTCCTCCCAGACCTCACTCCTCAGAGTCCTCCCTGCTCTCCCCCAGCAATGAGTGACTGGGCTTTAAGCCAGATGGTCCGGAGCTCCAGTTCCTAACCCTGTGCTCACACATTAGCCCCTGCAAGGTACCCTGACTTGAAATGATATCGGAGAGGGGAGGTATTGCTGGCCCTAGACTCCAGCTGCTGATGCTGGGGTGTCAGGAGTGTCCAGAAAGGGCTTGGGGCCTGAAGCCTTGCTGGCCTGCCTAGACATAGAAGTGGGGAGGAAGAACTGGGGTGACAATCTCACCAGGAGGTCGATGTACAAAGCGAGGGGTCCAACACTGCTGGCCTGGCCACCAAGGTCCTTTGAAGAATATTGATGACAGGTCGAGCCCTATATTAACAAGAAAGCAGGTTGAATTAGTATTTCCTGCTTACCCCAGGCCAGGGCTGGGGCTCAGTTTTCTGTGGATCACTGCAGGTGGGCAGGGCTGAGGCTCATACAGACGAGGACGGAGGAAGGGCATGCCCTACCCACAGACTCCTAGCTCACCTTAGCAGCACAATGTGGTCCGACAGGCTCCCCACTAGCAGGTCTGGATAGAAGTTTTCATCCACATCCATCTTCCCACTCAGAGAGTAGCCGAAGGTGGACAAGCCAGGCAGTCCGAGTTTCTCTCCGTGGATTATCTGAAGCCAGGAGGAAGTGGAAGGGACAGGCTCAGAACCATGCTTGGAGGAGGAGGAGGCCCTGGGTGATAGGGGTATCTGACTGGTCATTGTGCATTCCTACCTGCTGGGGCTGCCTAAGGAGCCCCCCGGAGCTGCTGTGGTAGATGTACACCGTGCCCAAGCCCTCAAATGGGGCTCCCACAGCAATGTCTGGGGAGGAAAGATAGGGCAGAGTCACCAGGCATTCCAGGCTCCATAGCCCCTTCACTTTCTGCTGTAGACCACTGAGCCTAGTGTGGCAGTGACCTCACACTGGCAGAAGTATTCAGAGCAACAGGGAACTTCATAGCTTCAGAGCTCTGGTGGGAATGGAGGTTAGGGAAAGCGGAAAAAATCTTCCTCAAAGTCAGACAACAGATCAGAGCCTCAGACAGAGCTGTGCCTCACGTTCCCCAGCTTAATCCAGTTTCCCACTTCCCTTATTCCCCCCATCAATCACTTCTCCAGACACCCTGGTTCTCCTAATGACATTTACTCCCAAGACCAGAAAAGAAGCCACTCCCCACTGGTAACTGCCAGTGCTCACAGCGCCCATTCCACTTGAGCCTTACAAGAATGCTGAGGGGGTATCCGCTATTACTTATCCCTTTGTAGATGAGCAGACAGAAACCCCGAGGCTACACTGTCAGGAACCTGGATTATAACAATACTACAATGCTCAGTACAGTGGACCTTCAAGTGTCAAGACTGTTAAAAAGCTAAGCAGTGTTTCCTCAAACTCGACGCATTTTATGATCCTAATCTTTGCCAGACTCATCTGCTACATTTGATCTGAGAAGGCCTACGTAACCGTAAAGGAAGTCAGGGAGCATACGTGGACCCTAAGCTGAAAACACAGATCCTTGCTTCGGTGGGAAGTGCTTGCGCCTGTTGGCTGACCTTTCTCACATCCGCTTTTGCCTCGTAAGAAGCTTTGCCTTCCCTTTAGTTCTCAGCTGTGTTCTGGGAAGCTGAAGTCATCAGAGAACTGACATGTGGCGAGCTAAGTGCTCCCTCAGTAAACCGGCTCACTAAAGTGTCCTCCCCGTGACTTCTCCCAGGGTCTGACTGTATTGTTCTCTGGGTCCCACAGAGCACCTGCAAGGCAATGCCACTAAGGTGCCCTCCTTGTCCCCATCCTTTCTCATCACTTCATATGGTAAATCTCTGATCCTACCACACCCCTCCAGCATCACCCTCCAAAGTGCCAAGCCTTCATATAGCATCCTTGTTCCAACCATTTCTCCGGAGACCTACCCACCCTACTCTCTCTGTGACCCAGATAGACAAGCCCCATTTACTCTGCCTGGCTTTCAGAGCATCGACCGGCCTGTCCCCAGCGTATACTTCAGTAGTGTATATTACATCGAAGTTCCTATGCTCAGGCTGATGCTATTTGCTCCTCTCTTCCGTGCAATCTCAGCCCAACCACTTATGGCCCACTCTAGGCGAGCCTCTGCAGCATCATCTGCACAGCCTCTCTAGCATCCCTTTGAGCTGTGAGCCCTGTCAAGCCTGGGATGCAATTGGTGCTCAGTAAGTGGGGGTGCTGAAGGAGGGGTACAGGCTCATACCCTGGAATCCATCCTGGTTGATGTCACCAATGCTGGCTATTGAGATGCCAAAGCCAGAGCGACTGGGGCCGTGAAGCAGGAGGGAAGGTTGATCCGGGAAGGACGTGCCCGCCTGGTTCATGAAGACATAGACAGCACCCCCTACCTCCTCTTTCCGTTCGAAGTAGTAGGGAGCGCCCACCAGGAGATCCTGCCACCTGCACAGGAGAAGAGTGGGAATGGGAGCGTGAGGTTGGCCCCTGCCTCCATTTAATGAGCATGATTTTGCTGGGGCCCTGCAACCGAGCAAATGACACACCCGACCACAGGCCACGAAGAAAGCCTACAAGACCCATCAAACAGTAAATTCATGTTACGGAGAAATCATGCAGGCAGAGACCGCAGCCGAAGAAGCTCCTACCCCATTGGCACCTTACGGATGATAGGCATGAAGGACAGGTACAGACAAGCAAGCATGGATGTCATGCAAATGACATGCAGATGTCCAGACTCCCACAAAGTGTGATTGCAAGACCCTGCACACAGTGAGTGTGTGATGCAAAGCTTCTACTTCTCGGACCTAGCCTGCCACCCCCCACCTTTCTCCCTGGTCCCAGAGGATGTCCCACGACCCTAGATTCTCACCCATCATTGTTCAGGTCTGCCAGAGCAATGGCGCTGCCAAAATAAGCGCCCACCTGCGTGCCCTCCAGCACCTGCCTCCTCCGCAGGTCTCCACCTGACTCTTGGCTCAGCAAGAAGACAGCGCCCATATGTTGGTGCCGTGGGGCACCTGTCACAACAGTGATGTCCTTGGGGTGGAGGATGGCGCTGCCTACCTGCACCGTGTACCCTGGGATGAGGAGGAGATAGGTGTTCAATCGAGGACCCAGTAAATGTGTCCCCTTCTATGCTGGACCTATCCCCCCATAGTTGCCCATCCTCTATTAGCTCCTATTCCTCTGTGCCAGCTGAGCAAAAAAAGTGGGCTCTGGGGGCAGGGTAGCCTTCCTCGCATACTGGACTTTGAACTTCACGACACAACCAACTTTGCATCTGGAAGCCTTGGACCAGAGTCTCCCATGCAGGTGGTACTCAGTAAGTGTGTGCTAATTGAGCTAAATGCCACATCTGCACTGCAGTCTCACCCCACAGCACACCAGAGGTAAAAGGGCTAGTATGTTAGGGATCAAGCTGCCTTCCCCAATCCTCCCAGTGGGCCACCAGCACCAGCTTACCAATATAGAGGTTTCCTTGGTCCTCGGAGCCTTTGTAGCTATATTCAGATAAATCCCAGTCCTTCCGCTGAATCATGTAGCTGTTTCCTGCAGAAAGATCGGGGAAGAGGAGCAAACAGTATGGGTCACTACCTTTCCACTCTACCGTGCCCACCTCCATGAACAACACAATGATCCTTTCACGTATGAGCAACACCACCTCTAAGTCACTGCCTTTTGTTTGCTTGTTTGTTTCTTGAGACAAAGTTCCTCTGTGTAGCCCTGGCTGCCCTGGAATTCACTCTGTAAAGCAGACTGACCTCAAACTCAGAGATCCGCCTGCTTCTGTCTCCCGAGTGCTGGGATTAAATTATGCACCACCACCACATGACCGATAAATCACTTCCTGTTTAGAATTTTGTGATGGGGGAAGAGGGCATGGTTGGAGAGATGGCTCAGTGGATGAGAACACTGGCTGCTGCTCTTCTAGGAGACCAAGGTTCGGTTCCCAGCACCCACGTGGTGGCACACAATGGTCTGGAACTCCAGTTCCAGGGGATCAGACAGGTCTTGAGCTCATGATCCTCAGGCCTCAACCTCCCAAGTGTGGGCATGTACGTTACACCTGGCTTACGAGATCTTAGACGCGGGTGTTTTGTTGTCTGTACACCACCTGCATGTAATGACTGCAGAGGCCAGAAGAGGGCATCAGGTCTCCTGGAACTGGAATTACAGACAGTTTCTAGCCACCTAGTGGGTGCTGAGCCGCCTCTCCAGCCTTTTAAGCAAATCTTGGGACAGTGAAAGCTTCTATGACCTCAGAAGGGCAGTCCTGTGTGTGTTGACCTGAAGCATGGCTTCTCGCTTATGGTGAATGAAAAGTGGGAGAGCAGAACATTTCATTCGACCCTGTTTGTTTTTAAGACGGTAAATAGTAAAATAAGGGGCTGGAGAGATGGTTCAGAGGTTAAGAGCCCTGGCTGCTCTTCCGGAGGACCTGGGTTCAATTCCCAGCACCCTAGGTGACTCACAACTGTCTGTAATGAGATCATATTCCTTCTGCTGCTGCTCATGAAGATGGAGCACTCATATACATAAAATACGAGAATAAATAAATCTCTTAAAAATCATTAAAAAATACTAAAGTAAATGTGGAAGGAGTCCTAAGACTCCCTCCCTCCTTTCCTTCCTTTCTTTCTTCTTTGTTTTTATTTATTTGTTTGTTTGTTTCTAAGACAGGGTCTCACTATGTAGCTCTGGCCATCTTGGAACTCTCTGTAGACCAGGCTAGCCTCAAACTCAGGTTTTCACCCTGGAAGTGCAACCTCTGCCTCCCGAGATTAAAGACTTGTCCCAGTGGCTCAGTGGGGCTAGGTGTTTTCTGTTGCCCCTCCTTCTTCAAGCTCCCACCTTTCCAGTTGTAGGCACCAGGGGCACCGAAATACACGGTGTTCTGGGTGAAGCCACCGCTGGTGCCCAGCTGGCACATGCCGGTCTGCAAGTAGTCGGTGTTGCTGTTACACATCTCGTTGTGGTAGGTCTGCCAGTCATCGCCGGGGTCCAGCTGTAAGTCATTGCCACGCACATAACACTTGCCCACCATACGCCGCTGGTCTTCTGTGCCAGACCATAGCACCTGGGTGTAGCGATGGGCGCAGACCTAGGGACCCACAAACACACACACACAGCTTTAGCCAGGGAACCCATGGCAAGCTACGTCTCTCACCCGGGGCACTGCTTGCTTGGTGAGTCGAGGGTCGAACAGGAACTCTGGCTTCTTTTTCTTCCTGTGGGGCTACTGAAACTTGTACCCCCTTTCCATTATTGAGAAATCAAGGGTCAGGAGCAGATCTGGAGTAGCTAGGAGCCATAAATTTGGGAGTAGCTTAGAGATCTTGGTGAAAGGAATGGGAGAAGGGTGAGGAAATGTGGGGCTTTGGCTCCTGGGTCTAAAAGGAGCTATTTTCAGAGAGATTAGGGGACTCGCTGCTCTTGTCCCCAGATGACCCTGTTGTTTAGTGAGAGGATCATTTAAAATAATAATAATAATAGCATTAGTAATAGCAGTGAACAGTCATCGAGTACTTACTATATGCCAAGCACAAGTGCAAGCTCTTTTCATATAGTAACTTTTAAATTCATTTTTATCTGATTTTTTGTGTATAGGTGTTTTGTCTACATGTATGTCTGCACCATGAGCATGTCTAGTGCCTGCAGAAGCCTGAACAGGGCCTCAGATCCCCTGGAACTGGAGTTACACACTGTAGTGAGCTGCCATGTGGGTGCTGGGAATTGAACCCCACTCCTCTGGAAGAGCAGCCAGCACTCGTAACTGCCGAGCCATCTCTCCAGCTCTTATATCATATACAGTTACTGGGAAAATCAGTGGAACAGTACAGTTAATTTAGGGCTCATCATGGCTTAGTGTTTTCAAGGTCCTGGGTTTGATCCCTAACAAAGCCAAAACAAACAAATTAAAAAAAAAAAACTTTAAGTTAAAAAAGGACTCTGAGCCAGTCATGGTACACCCACCTTGAATCCCAGCACCAGAGAGACAGAGACAGAAGCAGGTGATCTCTGAGTTTGAAAACAACCTGGTCCTCAGAGTGAATTCCAGGCAGCCAGGGCTAATAGTGAAAGCCAGCTTCCAGGGGGTAAAACGTGTTCTGGATTAGCCTTTGGGCTACACACTATCTAGGAAGAGGTGGCATCTTGTTTATTTGCCTTCTCTGTCCCGTCACAGGCGCTAGCCATTCACAGGAGCTCATCCTTAGGCACTGCTGAGTTTCTGGTACTGGGAACACAGTCGGAGCTAACTAAACATTTGCTGACTAGTGAAGGTGGGTAAGGAGCTAATCCTAGAATCTACAATCACTTAACAAACTTCTAGACTCACGCCTACAAACAACAGGGTGTACAGAAGGGTGGTCTGGGGAACTGAACTGCCAACCTCTATCTTACGAGGGTGTTCAAAGGGCAGAAATCACAGCAGCGATAGCTATAATAGTGGTGACTGCCCACAGGTGGCTCAGAGAACTTTCTGGAGTGATGTAAACACGTTCTGTTTCATGGGTGTTACTGTGGTCAAAGCTCGTAAAAAATTACTATCTGCCCTTTTCACTATATGTAAGGTTTATATAAACCTAAGTAATGTCAGCCTGGGACACAGAAATTGAGATCCCCAGGGGCTGACATTAAAGAACTGTCACCAACAGAAGGTGACAATTGGTAGTAGGGAGGGGCACTCAAATCAGTGCCAGGGTGAGCCAGGGTCACCAGGGCTGTGCTCCTTCCGGCAGCCAGCCTCCCAGGAAGGAGTGCCTGCCAGCACCCAGTTGCCTAGGGCGCTCTCTGCCCTTTCCTCCTCCGCATTCTCTCTGCTCTTTCCCACAAGTGGTGAGCATCCGTGCAGGTCACACAGTACCCACCCCATGCCCAGCCTTGGGAGAGCACCAAACAACCCTCTCCCCATAGTGCAGGAATCAGGGAACGTACAGGCCCGTAAAGACATGAGGCTATAGAAAAAGACATTTGCAAAGGCCCCAGCCATGCACAGAGGGTCCCCTACCACCCTCTGCTGTCCTCTTGGCTCTGAAAAGATGATCCTAAGTGTTCACTTACCAGGACTCTACCTGCGGGGCCCTGGCTGGCCACCGTCACCCCAAGCCACATGTCCTCAATAATGTGATGGTCGGGGTCACCTGCAGGAAAGGGAGGGCTCATGAACTGGGGACCCTCATTCCATTATCCAGTGCCCAAAGCCTCCCAGGGGCAGCCCTCCCTCCTCCCTATGTCCTGCCTGTCATTGCTCTGAGCTCACACTGTATGCCCTCCTGTTTCTTCTGCTCCTCTTCCCAGATGAACAAAAAGCATGCCTGCTTTGCTTTGTCTGTTTGTTTTGTTTATTTTTATTTTTTATTTAATTTTTTTTTTTTTTTGGTTTTTCGAGACAGGGTTTCTCTGTGGTTTTGGAGCCTGTCCTGGAACTAGCTCTTGTAGACCAGGCTGGTCTCGAACTCACAGAGATCCGCCTGCCTCTGCCTCCCGAGTGCTGGGATTAAAGGCGTGCGCCACCACCGCCCGGCCGGTCTGTTTTTGAATCAGGGTCTCCACATGCATCTCGGGCTAGTCTGAAATGCACTAATGTAGCCCAGACTGACCTTGTTCTTGCTGACCTTCTGCCTCAGCCTCAAGTGTCAGAATAATAGGCATGGGCCACCCTGCCTTGCTAACAGGCTAGCCTTGTGGTCTCCTCTTTGGGCTCCCCTTGCCAGGGTCCTGACTTAGCTCCTCTCACTTTTCTCTGAGATGTCCATCCGCTCACAGTCGTTCTTGAGGGCGGTGAGGGGGCACAGGTACACGGCGCCAGTCCGGTTGGTGTAGCCATCAGCCACGGCGAGGTCCCGGGGAGCACCAGCCAGAAGCCTGGAAAAGGGAGGCAGATGGGCCAGACTTTTTAAGCCTCCCTCCAGCCAACTTGCAAATACACACTCAGTAAGCATGGGCTCCATACCATGTTCTGGGGATGGGACATTAATAAACCTCAGCCCTGTCTTCCAGGAGAGCCTGTCACGGGGAAGGCGGGCCAAGAAACACACACTCGGTAAGCATCTCACAAAGAAAGCATGGAGGTCTGTACACGAGGTGCCCTGGCCTGAGTGTGAGGACAATGGCTCAGAGTCACCCAGTGAAGAAGGGAGGAAGGGCACCCGAGACAAGGATACAATATGGGCTATGGCCAGGAAGCATGAGCAAGCCAGTGATTCAGACACCAGCCCTCTGTACAACCAGAACCCAGGAAGCCGAGACAAAGGCCTTAGAGGAACCACAGAGGGACCCCAGGCAAGGCAGTGACAAAGTCAGATATGGTTTGGGTCTTTTTTTTTTTTTTTTTTTTTTGAGACAGGGTTTCTCTGTAGCTTTGGAGCCTGCCTGGAACTAGCTCTTGTAGACCAGGCTGGCCTCGAACTCATAGAGATCCATCTGCCCCTGCCTCCCGAGTGCTGGAATTAAAGGAGTGTGCTACCACCATCCGGTGTGGTTTGGTTCTTTCCTTCACCCCTTGAGACAGGGTTTCACAGAGCTGAGGCTCAGATACTTCCCTGTTCAAAGATGACCTTGAGCTTCTACCCAAACCCCACCTTTCAAATGCTATGGTTTTTAGGTATGTATCACCATGGTCAGTTTTATGTAGTGCTAGGAATTTAACCCAAGGCTTCCAGAACGCTAGGTAAGCAGTCTACCAGCCAAAGGACATTCCCAGCCCCAGATCTGAGTCTGTGAAGGAATCCTGTGACCTCAGAGGTAAAGGAAGATGTGAAAAAATGGTAGCTCTGGGTTCAAGTCCTGGGGGCAGCAGAAAAGGCAGAAGAGAGACTCTGTATAAGGATGGGTGAGTTGTTGGAGGCCTGGGTCTCTCCTCTTGAAACTGTTGAGCATCCAGCTCGAAGAGGCACAGGTTTCTAAGTGAGCTGAGTGACGCCTCCATTTGCCCCACCCCCACCTTGAAACAAGCACACAGGTGTGGGGCGTGGGGCTGGATACTAACTAATGTGGCCCAAGAGCAGAGGTCCAGTGGCTGAGAGTGTACAAGAGCTACCACCTTGTCCCCAGAATCCATCTTTAGGGACACCAAGAAATTCTCACAAGGGGGCTAGAACCCTCGAAGCCCAGCCCACACCAAACTTAAGCAGAGCAGACAGGAGATGGGCCCTGAAATCCTATCTCAGACGACCCTCAGGCATTTGGGAAAGAAGATCCTTCTTACACTGTCTCCAGGTAGCCTTTTAATATTCTGATTAGAACCTGCCTTCTGTCACCTTCCTGCCAACTCAGCCTCCTGGGTGGCAGAGCTTCCCAGGTGCCCCTCTGTTTAGCCCAGCAACACCGTGGCCCTGAGGCTCCCAGGCTCCAGGTCTCTTGACAGCCTGGAAGTGCTGAGCAAAGGCTGCGCCTGCAGCCCTGCTTAGGACCTGGGAGCGAGGGCAGCAGGGAGCAGGCAGGGCAGGGCCCGGGCATGCTGGGGCCTGGGGTGCCTCCGCCTACTGGGAGTCAGGAATGCATTGCCTGGAGGTTCTAGGAAAGGGGTGGACCTTTGCCTGCACCTCACAGCTGCAGCTCAGACATCACCCTCCCTGGCTGTGGGGCAGAGACAAAGCTTCTCCAGCATCCTGAGCACCCTAGGGAGGGGTCAGGGAGCAGATATAACAGCCGGGCCATTAGCCAACTTACGTTCAGGCTAGGGAGGGTACCTGCCTGACCACCTTGGCTCAACACAGGCACACACCCAACCCCCAGGCATGCTTGACAAATGAGAGAAAGAAGCTGGGGCCTGTGGGAACAGCTCAGCCGGGGAGCTAGGCACCCGTTCCTAAGACGAGCGCTGTGGCAAGAGTCTCGAGTGTCTGATCTGTAAAATGGGAAGCCCAGCTGACACCCCTACTCCAGGGTTTGGGGGAAACAAATGGGCTCTCTGAGAAGGCATGGTTGGTGTGAGCACTGTCGCTCTGGTTTTTTTATGGTACCAGGACTGGCCCTAACTTGACTCCAGACTCTCTCTGGGGACTCAGGAATTCCAATACCGTAGGTTAGGGAACCTGAAGCAGAGAGAAAAGGACAGACTACTTCATTGTTTAGTAGGAGGAAGGAGTGAATAGAAGTAGGACTTTCACATCCTAAGGATAGCATGCAGCCACTGGGGGAGGGGAGGGAGAGGCTGGCATCCGCTCATCTGAAAAGGAGGCTCAGAATTGGCTGGCAGGACGGTCTGCTCCAAGGAGCTTGAAGAGCTGGAAGCCTCAGTGGGTGGACGGGGAACCTGGGGAGCATGCAATGTAGTGGACGCACCGCCCTCCCGGCTGCCACTGTCCTGCCCAGATCATCTCGCAGGAGGGCACTGAAGAGCAGGGTCTGCATGCCTCCGGAATTTGTCTCAAGGAGGGATCGAGGGACCCCTCCTCTTAGCTGCGGGAGGTATGGAATGGGCAGAGGCAAACACAAACTATGGCTGGGTTAGAATAAGACTCCGTACAATCTTCACATTCCTGTCCTTGTCTGGTGCCAGCCTTGTGCCCACTGATGGGGACTGGGAAGGGGCCAATTCCCTAATCCCCAAGCTCCGCCCTCCTGAGAGATTCCACTGGGAGCTCCCCCACATCCCCTGGAGTATTTTTAGCTCCTACTTGGCCCGCTCAGAGGCCCTTTAAGGCCCTCTGGCTCCCAGCCCAGAATGCAGTGGTCTACAACCAGAGGCCTGCATATGGATGGAGGGAGGGGTTCAGAGGATAGGGTCCACCTTCCTCCTACCACAGCCAGTATAGGGAAGGTCAGGGTTGGGAATCCCAAGACTGGGACAGACCTTACCGGTATGTGAAACGAAATGTAAAGTACTACGTATAAATGAATAGCAGTTCATTTATACTCTATATCAATAGAGTCCTGTTGGGTCCAGGTAAAAAATGAAAATCTAAAAGCTGACTTCTCCCAGACCACCACTGAACCCAGCCCCCATCCACAGACAGAAGGGGCAAAGGCAAGTGGGGATGCCTAGCTCTCAGGAGATAGGAGCTCCCTCTCCTGGAGTCAAGCTGGGCAGGGGGGAGTGGAGAGCACCCCTGGAAGCAGATGGGTGAGTGAAATGGAAGATCAAGGGCTCTCAACAGCGGCCTCCTCGTCCTTTCATTTGGCTCCAACTAGAAAGCCCCACCTGGTCTCTGAGCCCCTGAGCTCCCAGTGCAGGGAGTGGGACTCTTCACCCTGACCAGCCCTCGATACCTCCATTCCTCCCAAGCAGTTCAGAGCTAATAGAATAACTGAACAGAAAATGGCAGGATCTGAAAAGGCTGGGGAATGGCACTCAAGAGAGTTCAGGGCACCAGGCTGGCTCACCCCAAAGAGGAAGAGGCCCTCGGGACTCCAGGGGGTGGAGTGATACTCACAGAAAATCTATTCGATTCAGCTTCAGTTCAGGAAGGTGTGTGGTGGCTTCTATGGGAAGATTTCAGGGAACCCCCAGGCCTTCCTTGGGGTTGTGGTTGCTGTTCCCCTAGGCCAGGCGTAGGGGCAGGAGGGAAGGCAATAGCCAGTCCAGCCTGAGTTGGGGGAGGTCAGTTCCTGGATGCCAGCTCTATGCCCCGCTGCCTGATTTAGCCACCTCCCCAGAGGCTCGTAGATGGCAGCTGAAAACTGCAGCCCTCGCCATCTTCCCCAACCCCTCCTCATGCTGCCTGCCCAGCCCCCCTCCCCTGCTGACTCAGCCCTAGAACCAGAGCAACAAGCTGGAGGGAAGAGAGAATGAGAGAGATGGAAGAGTGAGGCTTTAGCAGGGCTGTAAATGAAAGAGAACAAGACTGACGTTCTTGTTTCTCCTCTTTCCCCGACTATTTGACCCATATGGCATTCTTTGATTTACTGCAATGGACATTTCCTTCCTTTTTTTATTTGAGACAGAGTCTTACTATGTAGCCTGGACATCCAGCAAACTGCCAATCCTGCCTTCCTCTGAGTCCTGGCATGACAGGTATATGCCACCCCCACGGGATATCAATCCTTCCTTGCTACTTTCTTTTCTGCAAGATCAACCCTCCTCCACCTCCTGCCCATTTCAAAGCCTTTTGGCCTAGCATGGACACGGAGAAAGCCAGCAGAGAAGGATAAACCACATGTCGGCCTTGTTCCCACAGCCACAGCTGCTGTGCCATTTCTGCTGGCACGAGCCATGAGGGCTGCCAGGAACCGCCCTGCCCAGGGAGCATGTTTCAAGAGAGCCCAGCAGGTAAACCAGGTCCCTGCCTACCTCAGGCATGACCTCATTTCCAGGAGTCGCTCCCTCCCAGGTTTCCCAGACACCCTCATTTTCAACAGCAAAAGGGAGAGGGGGCTCAGAGGAAACAGCCAATTAGGTCAGGTCAGAAAAAGAGGGAAGAGCAGAGTAGATTCTTCTCCCTCTAAGGGGACTTTATGAAACATCAAAAAGCTCAAGGTGAAGCCAGGTGGTGGCAACACACGCCTTTAATCCCAGCACTCGGGAGGAGGCAGAGGCAGGTGGATCTCTGTGAGTTCAAGACCAGCCTGGTCTACAAAGCGAGTTTTAAGACAGCCTGAGCCATATAAAAGAGACCATGTCTCAAATAAGCCCAAAGCGAGTGATCTGCCAGGATTCTCACTATCATATACTAAGTGCTGCAAGCATGGGCTATGGGGGGTTAAAGAGGTGAAGGTTGTAGCAGCAAAGAAAGTGTATCTTGGATTTTTACACAGAAGCTATGCTCTCCCTTCCCCGGTTCCCCAGGGACAAAGTACAAATCCATGATTGTACATATACTCCCAGGAGCCCCTGAACAGCTGGCAGACCCCAAAGGAAGAACCATGAGCCACCCTTGCTCTTCCAAGGGGACTCGATGCTGACAGAACCTGAGGCTGCAGTTTTGGGCAGCTGCTCACATCTGACTACACAGCTGGCTGTAGTGAATCCCAGCTGCTGCTAAACCCAAAGGGCTGGAGAGCTGAACTCAGTCAGAAGGACAGAGCTAAGGTACAGAAGCAGCTCTAGGCAAGGCAGAGAAGACCCATCTGGCCAGAACCACCTGCCCTGGGAGCCCCATCAGTTCCAGCACTCTCTGCAGCTGCCAGGAGAGGAAAGCAGAAGTCTTTCACTTGGCCAGCTTGGCAAGGACCCACAGGAGGGCGAGGTTCAGCTCCATCCCAGTCTCAGCCCCTGAGCCTCTAGTGTGCGCTGGAGAGCCGGACCCGCCAGGACCGTTCTAGACATGCTACCTCATTAAAGCATCTCTAGCATTGAAAACGAAGGCTCAGGTGTTAGAGACAGAGCCAAGGCAAGACAACAGGAGTAGGAACAGGCGGCTTCTCCCTTTACAATGTCAAGGTAGCAGGCCAGCAGAGATAGGAAGGAGGAAGGAGCAAACAGATCCAGGTACAACCTCATCCTGCCGGAAACTGGCCCCTGGGAAGGAAATATCTTCCTCAAAGCCACAGAATGGGGGCGGGGCGGGGGGGACTGCAGAATTGTGCTTTGCTCTTTCCAGGGCTCTTCTCCTGTGTCAGGTCAGACCGTACCCCTTCAGCTTCAGAATATAGGGAACTATGTTCTTGTCTAGGACAGGGGAGGACAAGGCACTGTCAGAGAGCCTCAGCAAGGCAGAGGGTTAAATCTGCCTGGCCAGGTCAGGAAGGGTGTGGTGGCCCTGCCTTCTGCAGGGGCCAGGTAGGATAGAGGCTAAGTCCAGGTGGGCAGTACCGATCAGGGGCTGGGCCAGCAGGGCAGAGGCAGACTGAAGTGAGCTGGACTTTGAACATTCCAAACTTCCTCAAGTTTTTACACGCCCCAGACAGAGCCGAGAGTGGTTTCAACACTCTTACCTTGATCGTGTCTTTTAATTTAGTAAGTGTCAGAGGCCAGGTAGGAGTAAATGCCCGGCAGGCCACCTGACTCAAAGAGGTAGAAGGGGTCTGTGTAATCGTCACTGTCTTCCCCTGGGCAGCCTCATCTCCCCTGTGCCCACCCCCCCCCCCAGCTAGTCAACCTCAGCACACAGAACCCAAGTAGGGAAACCTCAGACGCCTGGACATGACCCGTTGGACTTGAGTGTACCAGTGGAGGGGCAGGTGACTGGACACAATCTCCTCCCCTCCTCCACCCCGCTCCATTCTGCTCTTCCCGCTTCTCGCAGCTGTTGCAAAGGAGAGGCGAAGAAAGAGAAAACACCATTTCCCTCTTCAAACCAAAACAAACACACTCAGGGCTGCTGATTCAACATGAATCTGTGGAATGCAGGGAGATGTCTGGTGGGAGTACCCCACCGCTTCCGGGTGGGCTCTGGCCTCTGAGGCTCAAGACAGCGCCTCCTCTGTCTCCTACTGTCCGTTCCTCTAGGGGTCAGAGGGAGTCTCTGGACAGCTCCAAATGCCCAGCTACTTCATCGCCTCACCCTGCAATGCCAAGCCCTTGAGAAGCGGTCCAGCCTGGTTCTGCAGAGGGCGTGGCTGCTGTGGCCATAGACTAAATGAAAGATGCAATGGGGGCTTAAACGCACAGATCTCGGGTTCTCCCCAGGCGGAGGAGACGAGGGGTGTGATATGTGTTTATTTTACAGGGTTCTCCCAGCCCGGGAAAGAAACTAATGTTAGGTACTGGATTCTCGAGGTACTGGACAACAGAGACCCAACTTCTGCTCTCCGAAGAGGTCTGAAGCGTGGAGCAGCCGCGTCTAGACAGGTTCTGGCCAGGTCAGCACTTGCTGTGATTACTGCCCCCCATCCTCCACTTCCCGCCAAGCCCCACACCCGCCCCCTTAATACTGGCTCACAAGGAAAGGCCAGCAGCAGCAGACCTGGAAGTCAGTGGGCCGAGGGCTCCAACTCAGCTTAGGTCAGGCATCGGCGCACATACCCTCTGTCACACCCCGTCTCGCCGCCGCCAGGCTGACTTACAGGTAGCGCTGCTGTCGCTCGGTTTGCCGATGGAGGGCGACCGAGTAGCCGAAAAGGCTACCCGGGTTCACCGCCTCCTTCACCACCAGGAATCGGGTGTCCAGGTTGAAAGCGAAGGCGACCCGGCCGCTAGCCGCCACCATCAAGGCCAGGGCGCCCAGCATCCAGCCAGAGTCGCGGGGCGCGCGGCGGGGGCCGGGGCCCATGGCTGCGAGCGTGAGCCGGGCCGGGCGAAAACACAAGAGCACTCAACACTGGGGGTGGTGAACGGTTCACCTGCTCCAGGCGCCGCCAGAGGATACCCGAGCCCGCAGCGCCACAGCGCTCGGAGTCCTAGGCAATTTCTTGCCCTAGTCCAGACAGCTTCACGTCTGCTCCGGGGTGGCGCTTCTCCAATCCTCTCCAGCTCCGTGGATCTACTCTCCCGCTGGCTGGGTGGACAGGTCACTGTGCCCGACTTTGGGCACCCGGCACCCTAGATTGTCCCGGCCGCGCCCCCTTGGCGGTGTTAGCTCTTTGGATCCCAGCTAGGTGGAGGATCTGAAAAGGCAAACCCCCGACCGCCAATAGGGCAGGAAGGAGGGATTCTCGCCAGCGCGTGCCCCGCCTCTCCACTGCCCAGCCCTGCACCTCCCCACCTTGCGAGCCCAGCCCGAGCTCCGCTTTCCTTCCGGGGAAAGAGAAAAGGTCCCCGCTCGGCCGCCGCCTCTTAAAGGGGCAGCGCCGCCCCTCCCTCTCCATCATTCCTACCCTGACTCCGCCCTCTCTCTCAGACACCTGTCGGGAACCCTTAAAGCCTGGATTTCCCCTCCCAGCGGCTTGCTTCTCCCTGGAAGCGTAGCCCTCTGTGCAAGACGGATTGGACGGGCGGGGCCGGAGGTGGGATTTGCCTGGCGTTTCGCAGTGGCTGCAACTGAAGAGGCGGTTCTAGGCAAGGCCACCACCACGGTCCGGACTGGACAGACCAGGCACTGGCTCTTCGTTGAACTGTCCTCGGTGCGCGGCTGCTTGGAATGCGGACCTCCTAAGAGGTGACTGTGGGTCTCCGGACTTTCTTCATACTCAGAGGCCTCGATGTTAGATATGGAGTGGTATTTATCCTGCCCACCCGCCTGCTCTTATCCTGATGCCAGCCGGAACCGGCTCCTCCGTAAAGCCAGACAGATATATTTAGCGGTGGTGATGATAACCCATCAGTAATTGTAATTAGCAAAGGGAAGCTTTTGTCTCTAGGGGCTGTGAATGGGACCTCAACTCCCATAGTTGTTCTAAGTGGTGCCGGCTGCAGACAGGTGGGGTAGGCTCAAAGATCTCATTATCCGGGAAAGAATCAAACCGAAAGAGAACTCCAAGAGATCATTACGGACTTTTTAAAATCTAACTTAGATTTCCCCTGTTGCAAAACCAAGACTCATTTTTTTCTGAGCATCGTTTTCTATATGTTCTTATAATAAGAAGAAAGCACCCTTTGCAGCTGGAACTATGCTAACTGCTTTACAAATACTACTTTTTCAAGTCAGTTTTTATTACCTGCCACACACACACACACACACAGCAAGGAAAACAGGAAATGGAGCCATCCAATAGGATTCTGCTCGGGTGTGTGAGAAGCAAGTGCATTCTGGGTCCAATTCGCTGTCTCCACAGCGTGACCTTAGAAGAGGCTCATTTCCACATAGATGATCTTATGCCTTCACCCCAAAGGTGCAGCCCTTAGCGACAGCGCTGCCTTTTACTAATGACAGTTACTGAGAGTTTGTCATGGTCACCACTATGTAATGGATGCAAACCCGGGTCTGTACCAGTCACCCTATTCACATGTGGGAGCAGGGCTGTCCCTACATCAGGCACGGCAGTTGTGTTTGAGGGGGTGCGCCTTTGTAGACACAGCCCTGGAGGAGGTGTGGGGGGCAGGGGGACAGCTCTTCTTACAGAAAGTAAGTGTGACTTCTTTGCAGCCCCAAGTGCCTGCACTGGTGCAGGAGCAGCCGGGCAGAGTCTGGGGTTAAAAAGAAGTGAGAGCAGAGTGAGCTGCTGGAAGATGTGGTCTACGATCATTAAATCCCCACACCAGGCATCAAGGTGTCCTCTGCTCTAAGATGGGAGCACCAAGGCTCAAGTTGGGCGCTCTGGCTGAGGCCACACATTAGAATTCTAATTGCACAGTATCTAACCCCAGAAGCCACCTTAACCATAACGCTAATGATTAACACTTAAGAACAAATCAGATTTTGGTGAGATTTGGAGTAGCAGGGCCTCTCCTCTGGGAGTGTCCTCGGCCATTACTAAGTACTTCCCTTCCTTTTGCCTGGCACAATGAATTCTAACTAGAAGCCCCACCTAAATGGTTAAAATGGTAACTGCTAAACAATCTGTCTTCCTTTAGCTTTGCAGATACCAGAAGATCCGACGACCTTTGTAACGTTGCTCCCCTTGTCTTTTCCTACAAACTAATGGCATATTTACCACGGCACTGTTTAGCTCCTGATAAGTAGCCTGCCTGTTTTAGGAACTAGTCCCAGGAGATAAAGTGGATTGCAGTGTTCTGGCCAGAGAGGGGAAGAAACAAAACAAACACACCAAAAAACCCAGAGATGTTGCCAGGTGGTGGTGGTGGAGGTGCACACCTTTAATCCCAGCACTCGGGAGGCAGAAGCAGGCAGATCTCAGTGGGTTCGAGACCAGCCTGGTCTACAAAGCAACCAGCGGCAAAGACCCACTCAGCAGTGTCTAGAACGTGCAGCGGTGTGCACAGGGAGGCCAGGGCAACCTTGTGGGATCGCTGCTTCTTTCCCTCTCCTTTGACGTGAGTTCTGTGGTTGAACTGAGGCCATCAGGCTTGCATAGCAAGTGTTTTACATGCTGAGGCATCTTGCCAGCCTGCTGTGACATCTACCGTGTAGCTCAGGCTAGCCTCTAAAGATTGGCTTTTGAATAGCCAGCATCCTTAACCAAGTACAGTTAGGAGCACAACTTTAGAATCAGAGCCCAGGAAGTGGCCCCAGTCTGACTTCATAGCTTACCAATCCTGTGAAAGTCAGGATTGTCGCCCTTGTTTGCCTCCTGAGGGAACAAACTTCAGGTGTGTATTTGGATGTCCAAAGCCACACAAACCATGGCAAGGGAGTAAGGCAGAGCTGAGACTGGACACCACTGGCCACAGCTGTGCTTTAAGGGAAACTCCAGGCAGATGTTGTTTGGCCAGACATACCTAAACAAGAGCAGCTGTGATAACAGTTTGCTGGGTGGCGTTTGGGAGAGGACGTTTGTCCCTGGTTGCTCTTAGAATGGTATTAATCCGCACTGTGACTTCTAGAGCAACCCGGCCTCTCTCAGGCTTTGACTCGTGGACCCAAAGCTATCCGAGGTTTAAGAGACATCTGGGGTCAAGGAACAGGAAGCTGAATGGGAAGTCAAGCCATTGCGTTTGCCCTTCTGGATAACTCCCTTGGTTCTTGGCCTTATTCCTAGTAAAGTGTGCCAATAGCCAGGACCAGGAGGGCCAGGGTGGACACTTGGTATAGACAGGGGTCCTGCCCAAAATAGCTTTGCGTCATGTGATGATGACAGATGGGCCCCACGCCAGGCCTTATCTCGTAAACGGTCCCAAACAGGAAGGACCAGCATGTCCGATCTGGGGACCAGGAGCAGGAAAGGGATGAGGGATGGCATTTCCAGTCCAAAGGAGTGTCCAGAGAGAACGTGGGAGCAGGAGCTGGGAGACTGGGAGAAGACAGACCCAACTGAGGAATGTGGGAAGTGTCAGACAGACCTACAGGGAGGGGTGGACTGGAATGGAGGAGCCGTGGACTCTCTGAGCCTGGCCTGGAGATCTGGAGAGAGGACTCCCAGTTCCACGCCACGGGGCTGAAACTCTTTGTTCCAAAGGACTTTATCTTGACGACTTCACCTCAACCCTCCAGTTGACTTTTACACTGTCGGCTCTTCCTCCAGCAGAATGGGCCCGCCTAGAAACACAGGATTTTTAGATGTGTCCGTGAACAGCCTTTAGGCCTCTCCCGGTTCGCTTCCCTAATGGCTCATACTTGCACAAGCCTGCAAGAATGGATGGAGCTTCCCTTCATTGTCTGAGGGAAGGAGAGTCCCAGAGATCCTCCCTGGGTGAACATTCACCTCCAACCACAGTGAAAAATCCAGGTTATCCTCCGTCCTGGCTCTGAAGACATTTGGGACCTGCTGCCCCAAGAGACAGCCTTTGTGTAAACAACAAAACCTTTCTTGCTTTCTTGGTTCATGAGTGGTGCTATCCATCTTGACATTTGAATGAAACCTTCGATGAGGTCCCTCGGCCTTTGCAAGTGACTAACTACCATAACACACAAACTCTGCTGTCTTTGCAGGAGTCAGGGAGGCTTCTGGGAGAAAGAAAAGGGGGAGGGGGGGCAAAGGAGAGACAGGCCTAGAGCGGGAGACCTCGAGAGAAGAAATGCAGAAGTTGGCCTAACTTAGGGTAAAGTTTTCCCAGCTGGAACAGTGACAATGTCAATATCCTCAGCCGGCGGCTTCCGTTCCTCTTGGAGCACTTACTGTGTTCGCAGCAGTGTGACTACATAGCTCCAGCCAGCTGCTGCAGGAATCACAAGGACACATAGTGGCCTGCTGCTAGGAGTGAGTGCTGGCTAGCCTGTCATCTCACCCTAGCAAAGATACCTTCCTACCCCAAGCCATGGAGCCCGGTCTCGAAAGCAAGAAGGCTGGAGAAAACATTCTGTTATTAATCTCCATCAGCATTCAGTGTGTCTCAAGGCTCCTCAGATCTGCAGAGCTAAATGGACCAACTCTGCTACTGAACCTAAACTCAGGTCATCCTCTGACTCCAATAGAAGATACAAAATTCTTGCAGGGGGGTGGTGATGGCTGAATATGATTAGGTTTATCAGATTTCCTTTTCCACTGACCCAGACTCAGCCTTCTCTGCCTCAAGCCTCGAGGCAAAATCCCTCTCAGCCTCAGCTCAGACCTGAGTCCCCTACTAGGACTAACAAGGGCTTCATCCGGCCCCTTCCTCTGTCTTTTTAGTTTTGAGCCTAGCGTTTAACAACTGAGCCATGTCTCCAGACTCCAGGAAGCATTCTGAAAACTCAGCATCAAGCAGGCTAAACTGCGAGTGTCTTGTACCATAGAGCTGATATGTATGAGGCGAGGGGACTATTAGAAACAGCATGTTTATTGTATGAAAGAAGAAGAAAGAAAACAGAAATGAAAAGAAAACCAGAGAAAGAAATAGACCGTGTGCTGCTTACAGCACACACTGAGGTTGACATGGTCGGGACAGACACAGAGGGGCCAACATGTAGGAGTGGAGCCAAGGAAAGACAATGAAAGGTAGGAAGTTGAGAGCTTGAGGCTGGCCTGGTCCAACTGGTAAGTTTTAGATCACTCTGGTCCACATAGGGGGGACCCTGTCTCAAGAGACACATCTTTCCTGTATACACAAATACTCCACAAGTGGGGGGGTGGGGGGCAGGGCTAACTTTACTTGGTTCTTACTGCCCAAATTCTATGCTTGGGTGGAAAATCTGGGCAGGTGGAGACTCTATCCATCACTCCCACCCTTTTTCACTAGAGATGGAGGATCCCTACAGAAATGTTCACTAGGACACATCTGTGAATGGTGTCTTGTATGTTATTATATACTCGCTCCTGTTTGCCTGTGTGACT